TGATAGAGATGATAAGAATTGTTTCATTTAAAATACAACACTAATTTAATTTCTCTTTTGCACAATCAGATTATCATCGGATAAAATTCAATGGAAAATGATTTTCTACAATATGTTAAACTGCAATTATTGGGCATTTAGTCTCTTTTACACTGATCGACAATAAGCATAAGAAGAAAAAAAAAAGGAATACCAATAGACAAAAGGAGTGGTTGTCTAGAAAAAAAGTATTTTTAGGAGACACATAATACATAAACAAGCACTTACATTTAGTCTGATAACTAAAAGTCTAATAACTAAATATTTTAACTTTGATAGTGTATATCGAGACACTCCAATTTAGTCTTCTGCAATTTAACCCTTCAACACATTCTAACTAATGTCTCATAAATATTCAATGCTGACGTACCATATTAGAAATATCTAGTTGATTATTGTTAGAATTTTGTCCTGATTTTCTTACATTATTTAAGTGTTAATTTTTTCTTTGTAAGAAAATCAAAGTATTACTATAAATGCTTTAACTTTTTTCTTGAAAGGAAAAATATGATTCACTTTCATATTTATTGGTTATTTTTTCTTTAGAAAAAACATTTGGAACTCTATAAATTGAAGACCCGTCTTTTCATATTAAGAACACAATAATAACCACAATGTAGACGTTTAAGAGTTTTGTTTATGGGAAGATTTTCTCTTAATATGTATATGTTTTTTCAATATCAGTTTTATTATATGTTGGTCGTTTGGTCAAACCATATCAATAATATGTTTTTAGTATGTTTTTATTTGTCATCTAATTTATCACCAATATATTTGCAATTGTAAGCTTCCACATGATATTATGATTACATTCAAACCCAAACAATTATTTTATAAATTGGAGTGTTCAAATGATCATATATTCATATATATCGTGGAGACAAGTTGAGATGTTTGTGTGTACTTTAACTTGAAATTTTACTTGTCAACTGACGTTAAATTTAAATATGTTTATGTATTATGCCTTTAAGAAAATAAGTAAAAGAAAATAGAATTAAGAAAATAAAAACAAGAGCATTACTCAAGAAAATAAGCAGAAACGTTCCATGTGTGAACGCAATTTATTTAGGTTGTTCTGGTCAAGTTATATTTATTGTGATTATAATATAAAATGTCTTTTATACTAAATAAAATTTTGAAAAACTCTTATTATCAATTTAAACTTTTTCTTCTTAAAAGATTTTGGAAGAATAAATGTGCCATTTATATTTCATCCGGAATTAATAATTCCAACATTTTAATCTGATATAAAATGTATAACTAATACCACAATTATGCTATAAATAACAACAAAATAACTTATGCCATGCTACATAAAACCAGAGGGCATATTGACTATATCAATATCTATTTCTTCTCAAATTTACTCATGGAATATTGCAAAGACTTCTTAAAAGTTTGTTCAATATTTATTAAGAGTAAAAAATATTTTCTTGATTTCTCAAAAAACACTTATTTTGAATTTAGGCTAGAAAATTAGAGGGATGGAGTGAGTAGCTGTTTTTAGTTGGAGTTTACAACAATATATTAGTCCATTGCCATAACAACCAGGTTCATTGTTAAAAACAAATTAATCTTAAAAAGCAAATACTCTCACAAAAATACAAAAAATAATGAATGAAGAACAAACAAATACTAGTAAACAAACAGTAAAAGAAACAAAAAAAAACTAGGAAACTGCAGGTAGAGGAAGAGCAAAAAGACAAATAAGAAAAGAACCGGCCTATCCAATGGAAATCCACACGCAAGGCCTAAAGGAAAAAAAAAAAGGTAAAAGAAGAAGAAAATTTTGTGTTGGCTTAATGATTGACGATCGCGTGACGAAGCAAGAATTTTCATTAAGAAAATTTAAAATACAAGAAAAAGGCAAAATTTGAATTTTTTTAAAGAAATTCATACCATATATATAAAAAAAATATTTTTAATTGAAAGAAATTCGGATGAGGCTCCACCACTGGATTCTAGTGAATGTAGTGAAGAACAAATCGTTTTGTCTCAAATTTTAAGTTTGTATATTGTTTCTATTCAATATTACACCCCTTCTCTTTGAAATTGGAAAGTTGGAAATAAATATTTGGGTTTAAGGAGGTAATAGAAGGAGGAGGAATTATTCTTTTTATAAGATGAAAGAAAACAAGTGCTTCTCACGTCTATTTTAATTAAAATATTTTAGAATAAGTTCCAAAATACTCATTTAAAAATACATGATACTACTCGCAAAGATTATTGAATTAGTGCAATAAACATATAGTATTTCATAACCAAGATTAAAAGATTGATTCTTCTACCAATGTTTTCTCAATCAAACTCATCATATTAGGCTTGTGGACCCAAAGGGCTGCTACGAGTTTGAGGGTTCCAAAATAAAATAAAATGATGCAATTATAGAAAGTAAGGTGCAATGTTTTTTTTTCTTCTGAAACACTAATTGCCACCAGCGTAAGTAAACGTTACTAGTTTTGACATTATTTGTTGTTAAAAAAGGTTTAAATCAGAAAACCTTGGGCTAATAAATCTTTTCTCGCACATTGATTAAAATGAGGCAAATGATTAATGAAGATGTTTATCACAAATAGACAAAAGAAAGGAGTGGTTGTCTAGAAAACAAATACTACAAATATTTTCCACTTTTAAAAAGACATAATACACGATCGAACATTGAAAGTTAATCAATATATAAATAATCATATCAATTTTAAGAGTGTATATTTAATCTTAACTGACAATTAAGCATTTATATTCACTTCAATTGTGTCTCGTAGACATCAAATGTTGATGGTATACATCAATTTTAAAAATATCTAGATTATACAAAAAAGTTCTACTTATTTCTTCAAAAAGCAAATGTTTCACATATTGCTTTTCTTATTTTTATTTATACTATTACATGTGGAAGATTTTAAAAAAAACTAATAAATGACATTAATGGAGATATGGTATCACCAACGTAATAATAGATTTAGGATTTACACAATTAAAAGTTACATACATAATACATCATCATCATTACTATTATTATTACTATTACTATTACTATTATTATTATTATTATTATTATTATTATTATTATTATTATTATTATTATTATTATTATTATTATTATTATTATTATTATTATTATTATTATTATTATTATTATTATTATTATTATTATTATTATTATTATTATTATTATTATTATTATTATTATTATTATTATTATTATTATTATTATTATTATTATTATTATTATTATTATTATTATTATTATTATTATTATTATTATTATTATTATTATTATTATTATTATTATTATTATTATTATTATTATTATTATTATTATTATTATTATTATTATTATTATTATTATTATTATTATTATTATTATTATTATTATTATTATTATTATTATTATTATTATTATTATTATTATTATTATTATTATTATTATTATTATTATTATTATTATTATTATTATTATTATTATTATTATTATTATTATTATTATTATTATTATTATTATTATTATTATTATTATTATTATTATTA